AGATCAAATATGTTTATAAACATAAAAATATCTATCTCAAAATGATAAAAAAATTTTAAAAAAAAAATAGAGTAGCAAGAGTCGAACTCATAATCTCACGTCAGAAATCCCTTAAAAATCTCATATTAAGCCAACTTAGCTGTGAATATTTGTTTTACAACATTTACAAAATTAAATTTTAAACATTATCAAGGGGATGGCCATGGCCTACCCCAGCCTGAGCAAGATAGGTGCACCGAAATGTTGCAAGAGGATGAACTAATTTGTTCTTAATGTTGAAACTCCGATGCATGAATAGTCCTTAAATTTGCAAAGTATTGTGAGTTGCACATATTTGCATGAATAGTTCTCAGATTTGCAGGAGTGTGTGATGTAGTTCACACGGCGACACCTGCATGAGTACGAAGAGTGGCGCTCTTCTAGGGAGAACAAGTATGGTTCTCTTGAAGTACTCATTAGTTCCCAAGAATAGCCAAATTTACGGAGTTGCTTAAGCTCTAAATTGTGTTTACAAGGTCCCTTCCTCACTCTTAGGAGTTTAAATCTTAGGATACTCACTAGGGAAGTGTTAAAAACCTTTTGCGCTAATGTGTTAGCTCAAATCTTTGGATACTAGCATTTAAGTACTAAGACTTTCATTTACTGTTTCAAATTTCATGATCTCTGGTTCGTTTGCATTAGTGGGGATTGTTGGACTTAGTAGTGCAATCGGAAAGGTTTTGTCTCAGGCTGTTGGTTTGTCCGATCGAGCAGGTGAGAGTAACCCCTTGGTTGAAAATTCATTATTGTACAACTATCCGCTACATAGTTGTGTACCTTGTACTACATGACCGTGTGACATACATGGTCGTGTACCTTACTATACATGGTTGTGTGGTTTTGCAGATGAACCTATCTATACGGTCGTGTACCCTCTTCTACATGATCGTGTGTGTCAAATATTATTAGGAATGGCTATGAGTTGGGTCTAGTTGGGCACATCATAAACTGATAGATTGTTTGGATTTATTAGCTTGGTTTCCATGTATTAGAACTTTATAAATACAAACAAGAGCCTCTTCAATAAAAACAACTTTCGAAAAATACTACACACATTAAATACAAACCTAGCCTTTTGAGATTTGAATAGTTCTTGAGCAATTCCAATATTTGATTCGGGTACACGGATTGCAAAGGTCGTGGTGTAAAACTTGGGGGGCGTGCATCACTGGGAAACCTGTACCGGTAATGGCGTATTTTGCTTCTATGCCAGTGGGTTCCAAACCATGGCATAACAGAAGGAGGACAGGTCTATGATTCGAGTATGGCGATCAAATTTGTACCTAGGAAAGTTCTTGATTTGTCTATTATCATTCATGGAATCAATAGGTATTTTACCAAAATTCAGATTTGAAATACCCTGTTGTGTAAGTTATAACCTGTGATTGTTTTTAAAAGAATAAAACGTGTGCACTTGTGTAAAAGTGCAGTGATTGTTATTTGATAATGAAAAAGTTATGTAATCTAATTCAATTTATTGAACTAATGTTTACACTGCATAATTATAATAGCTTAATGTATTTAGCAGTATTTTGTGTTTAATATAGGCACATAGCTTGACAATCATGTGTAATCAGTTTTCAAGGTTAAATAAATGAATTAAGGTCAATTTTGTAGCTCTTTTAGCACCTACAAAATTTAAGGCTAACTAGACACATAAATCATAAAAACAAAATATAACACAAACAAGCCCTAGTTTATGTTTATTTGTGAGAGAAACAAAACAATTGCTTTTAGCAAGTTCGTAAATCAGGGTTTGTTCACATTTACTGAACTGAACTGGATTGAGCTGAGGTGCAATGAATATTTTACGAGGAAAAGAAATTAGGAGTTGAATTGATCTGAACTGATTGGAGCTGAACTAAATTGAATTGAACAGAAATTAAGCTGAAGTAAATAGAACACTCATCTGTCCAACTTTACGTGCCCAATCAGCATAATATTTTGGTCATAAAGTCAACAATTTAGGGTCCACATTAAATGAAAAGTTGATTTATTAATGAAATAATCACTTGATTAATTAATCTAGTTGATAAGCTTGGACTTTCTCCCATAAAACGAAATGCATTACTCAAATAAATACACTCCCTCCAACCCATAAGTTTGAGCCAGGGAGCTTCCAACCACTTTGTACAGTAATATATTGTAGGTCAGAATGAAAGTGAAGCCTCATTTAGATGTCATAGGAGTAAGCCTACCTTACCACATATGAATGTAATTTTTGAATGAAATGACCGCTAAAGATGATAGGTTACCCAAAAGGAAAACCAACAACCAACAAGCAATCCTAATGAAGAGAATCGACCCGACTACTAAAGCAAAATAAGAGGATGAAGACTCCAAGTAAAAATGTTCGCAATACCCCAATACTATCTACTACCTGTGTTAACAGTTATTTGCAACAAAAGAAAGGTAGCACAGACTCCTGGGCAAAACTATTAAAGCATGATTATTGAAAAATAAAGGCACTTGGTTAAGTATTAATCCTACCTAAAAAAATAAATAAAAAGCCATAACCACCGAAACCCGGAACTAGAATCACCACCAAAACCACCGAGAACCACCGACACTAAGAACCCAAAATCACCACCAAAACCACTGAAACCCAACCACGAACCCAGCCAAAACTACCGAAACCGACAAACCCAACAACCACCACGAACACATAAAAACCCAACCACCACAAACCCACAGCGAATCCACCCAAAACCACCACAAACCTAACAAAACATCACAAACCCAACAAACCACCACGAAATCCAATTAAATCAAAAACCACTGCGAATCTATAGTTATATATTTAAAAGGAGGCATTCCAAACGAAGGGTTGAGAGATATATAGAAGTGTCTCGCATTATGGGCAGGTTGGTCATTTTATGAGGGATTTAAATTTTGCCTTTATAAATTCAGTGGTACAAAATACACTCTCACTGGTATAAAATATAATGTCAGTGGTATTTCAAAAATGGTTCAAATGTCTCATTAGACTGTTAAATAATACCATTGGAGCTTCATTGGTACAAAATACACTCTCAGTGGTACACACAATACAATCTTAGTGGTACTTACAAAAATGCTCAGTGGTACAAAATATGCTCTCAATAGTTGTGGTCCCAATACTTTTTTGTCTTTTTTGCACTTGAAACCATTTCAGGCGAAAAGGTGGGCCCAACTCCACCCTTTTTTCGAGGTTATATAAACGAAGGGTTGCGAGACAATAAAGTCATGTCTCACAAAGGTAATATAGGCATTTCAGGGGTCAGTTTAAAGTTGTCTCATTGAGTGTTCAAATAATATCTCTAGAGTTTCAGTGGTACAAAATACACTCTCGGTGGTAAAAAAAATATAGTCTTAGAGGTACTTCAAAAAGCTCCACTGGAGTTTTAGTGGAACAAAATATAAACTCAATGGTAGTGGTCCCCAAATTTTTGTTCGTTTTTGCACGTGATACATGTCTGAAAGTTTTAATGGGATCCACACCACCTTTTTCACTCTTCCTTTCTCTCTCCCCCTTCTTCCTTATACTTTTATATTCTTTTTTAATAGTTGTGATACAGTTTCCATTTGTCTCACAACCCTGGATTTATACTTCCTTTTTTCACTCTCAATCTCTCTCTTCCTTTCTCCCTCTTCCTAGTACATTTGTTATATTATTTTATGTTGTGAGACAATACAACCCTACGTTTATACTTTCTCATAAGCAAGCATTCCCTAATTGTTTATATGCCAGCCACGTAAGTCTTAATTTTTCCAGCGCGCCACGTAGGATAACAAATTTTAGTGGTAGCCAATTAAATACAAGATTATTAGTTTATTTTAGAATTAAATAATTTATATGACACGTAAGCAAAATTGGCGAATGAGATTCTCCAAGGTAAATTAATCATCTTTTAATATCATCTATATATAACAAACTATGCATCGCACGGGGTTCATCTAGTAACATCTAATTTCTTACCTGCTAATAACAATTGATGTCATCTATACATATCAAAATAGCTATAAATGACGGACATCAATTTAAAAAAAAAATACGAGATAAGCATCTTAAAAAATTTTAAGAGGAATAAAATCAACATTTCTCAAACAATAGTGTTAAAAATTATATTTCTATACTCTTTATGAATAACATTATATGTTTAACATTTATGCATAACCCACATGATCGATAATAACATATTTCATAAAGAAACAATTTAATCAAAGTGGTAATTCGGTGCAACATCCAAGCCGCATACTAGTTAAGTTACTTACAATTAAGCCGCCACCACGAAACCAGACTAAAACCCCTTAAACTCGCAAAGTTCGCGTCACCTTCACGAATCAGATCTGCAACCTATCCACACAAAACTCACACCACCCCCACAAACCAAATCTAAAACCCCTAAAAACCACCCCCACAAACTCATACGCACGAACCAGACGAAGAAAAGTTAGAGAAATGAGTGATTTTGATGAAGATAGATGGTTTTTGGTGAAATTGATTACCATAGTCAGATTGATTAGGTAAAATAGTTAAATTAGGTTAGTGATTTAATTAGATGTCTAAGTTGTTTAAAGGTAATACTGTCATTCTGTTGACAAAAAGTTACTAAAAGTGGAAAGAAAAAAATTATTGCACATATTTAGCAAGTTAGTATATGGATCCCACAAACTACCCTAAGAAGAAGGCTAGTCAAACTTATAGTAGTGGTGTATATGGATTCCACAAACTACCCTAGGAAGAAGGCTAGTAATACTTAGTAGTAGTGGTATTGCCAAGTCTGCCTTGTGACATTGTCGTATTTACGAGGGAATGCAATGAGATTTATAGTGCTCATAATCTAGCTGTTAAGACTATAAAAAGGCCTTCGTTATTTCGTTTTTACTAATACCAAAACAAAGAAAAAACTGAACTATAAAAAAAAATAACAAAACTAAAAAAAAAAAAAAAAAAAAAAAAAGAGGGAAACCAGCATTCATACAGTTAACCACCACATCAGATTAATCAAATATTTCAGACAAGGTGCACTCAAAGTACTTGAGACGAGTAAAACACTAATGGGTTTCACACACAAATGCAAATCATAACACACAGGCCAATAAAAACGTGAAGCAGTATTTCTCCAAACATCCAAGACCCAATTCATAAGTTAATTCAGCAAACCATATGGAAGACTTTCAACAGTAAAACATGACTTTCTTGACATTCTCTTTCAGAACAGGAAGAGGACGCACAGCAGCATTAGAAGTGGGCGATCTTGTACTTCGTCCACCAGCAGCGGCCATGCCTCCACGACCAGCAGCAGCCCCACTAGTCATGGAGCCACTGTCTGAGGTCTCTGGCTCCATGTAGAAGCGAGCACGAAATGCAGCAAGATGGGCATAATAAGCCGGTGGAACTGTCAGATAGGTGAAAAATATTAGAATAGGAGTACTGAACACTGAAGTATACCATACAAGACTATCATGAAATCATTAAGACAAGGAAGAAAGACTAACCGATTGAAACAGATCGAGTACACCTTGCATATCTGTCAAAAGTTGACACCACCAGCCCAATAGCCAAAAAGAAAGTATGTTTAAAATACAAAGAAAAGAGGAGATTTAAATTTATAAACAAGCACAGATGTCTATTACAAATACAGTTTTCCCTCTCAATTCAACAGTGCCTTCATCAGATAGCTAGCACAGACTTCATGCAAAACTATACAGTTTAAGGCATCTCATGCACAGCTAGAGATAATAATAACCATACCAAGCAGACGTCTATTACAAATTCAGATGGTAGGAAAACTGATTTAAGTAAAAAAAAATCGGAAAAACAAGCTACTCAAAGCTTTTTTGTCAAAATACTAATGTATACACTACAATTGACACTAGTCACAAGCTTAGAACCCTCTCACTCTACTTAAATTACTCAAGTTTGACAACTGATCCAATCTCACTCCTTAGTCCTTACTCATCGAAAATCTTCAAACCTCTTTCCATTTAATTAAAGAACTTAAGCCTTAATGACTACAATACTGTCGAGCTTTCACAATGAAATTCTAACATATGCTACAAATACATGCCTACAAACCTTGTCAAAATACTAATGTACACACTACAATTGACTCTACTCACAAGCTCAGAACCCTCTCACTCTACTTAAATTACTCAAGTTTGACAACTGATCCAATCTCACTCCTTAGTCCTTACTCATCAAAAATCTTCAAACCTCTTTCCATTTAATTAAAGAACTTAAGCCTTAATGACTACAATACTGTCGAGCTTTCACAATGAAATTCTAACATATGCTACAAATACATGCCTACAAACCTAGTCCTCTCATATCATAATTCAATATTCTGAGCTAAATCAAATCAGAACTTGCAATTGAACAAGATATTGAGGTAGCAATTGGCATATTCTACATTAATTCAAAAAATTCAACACGCCTTCATTAAGCTACTTTTTATTAACCACCAGAGTTGGCAAAATATGTCTCACACCAAACTAAAGAATAAAAACCTAATGTCACACAGATCAATACTCAATATTTTAATTCTCAACCTCCCTACTCACGAACAATCCCAATCCTCAAAGACAACTACATCAAAGGTTAATCATAAAAACTGAAGGGGGAATATTCACATTGCAGGAAGAAGTGCGGCTAGTGAAAAGAAGATAATATAATTTTTCTGCATACTAAATTAATCATCATAAAAAATAAAAATAAAAAAACAATATATGGAATTTGTTTTCTACAAAAAAGATATACGATGTATATTATTAATAAAAAGAGGAAAAAGGCAAGAAAATTAAAATTATTAACAGACGTCCAACAGCTACTAAATCAAGGAAAAGGTTTAATAGCAAAATCAATTGACCACTTTATTCCAATTAAGTAGCTGTTTGGTTGACACAAACACAATTAAGTGGCTTACATAGTCCCACTAGGGGCTAACCAAGTAACTTTAACAAGTCCCCATGAATTTCATTACAAAATTTAATACCCACATATATACGAATTTCATGGAAATGTTTACATCCTATGTCAAGCAAACGACCACTAGAAAAGCCTTCTTTTCAACCAATAACCCATGAAAACTAGAAAAAAAAAAATTACATACTAAACCCCTAAACCCTTTTTCAAACTTTTAGAACAGTAAATCTTAAGTACCAACATTCTTCTTTCTCAACATCTTACGGTCTTATCAGACAAGGAGAGAAGAATTCTCAGCAAAGACTTAGTCTACCAGCAACGAAAGAAATGAAAAGAAAAGGGCAAGCTAAAGAATCATGGGGACTCAAAGCAGTATCTCTATAGTATCTCTTCAGTATAAAAAAATAAAAAATAAAACCAATATTGCAACTCCCTCTTACTTCTCCCCCTCTATATGAACTTGTGGGAAGTGGGTAACTTTACTACAGAATACACAGAAAATAAGCTGGTAGGACTAAGAAACACAAACACTATCCAACAAACAGAGAAAATTCAGATAACCCAAGGAACTTACGTATAGCATAGGTTATTCGTCAAGGACTGTAACTCGTCAGCTGTAAAGTTATTTTCATCCCACAAGACATGATAATGTGCTGGCCTGCTAGTACCCTACAATCATGAACAGATACAAAGTTAAAATCCAAAAGGCTTTAAACAAATTATAATCCACCATAAGATGAAATATACAACAATTGAGCTCTGCAAGGTGTAAGGAAAAACCTGAATGCCAGCATGACTACATAGGTAAAAGTCAAATTCAGTTGGGTGACATATCTTAGAATCAACAACAGTACCTGTAACATCAAACAAAGCGAGTTCATAAAACAGATTAAAATATTAGATCTGGCCATTCAAAAATAAAAGTACAGAATAATGACCAGGCAATATGTTTCCACTCCTATCAACTGAGTGTCGATCATGATGGTTGTTGGCAAATAGTCTTGTATGATGACGTTTTTGGACCACAACAAATGTCACAGGCGGTTGGTAATCTGGCTCCAACGAAGCACATGCCTGCTAGAACAATGACAAATAAAAGGTCAATAAATGATGCCAACAAATTTAAAATTAATGGTGACAAAAGTAAACTAAAGGAAGGAAGTTTGACCTTTCGAATAGCATCAAGTTCATACAGCAACACTTGATAAAATTGACCCTCACTCACCCCATCCCTTCACGCAGATAACAGAAAGGGTCAAGGAAAAAGCACAAGACCAAATCTAACAAACAGAAAAAAAATGTAAAAGAGAACCTGTAAAATATGATCCTCAGTGGTTTGTGGCCTGTTGACCTACGGAAAGATATGAGGAGTTCCCTACAAAACAATTTTGAAATGCATAAGCTAATGCAAAATTTATATATCTTGAAAGAAGGGAAAAGTCAGTAGCACAAGCAGCTATAATACTTGATCATTCCTCCGGTAATTTGACCCCTGCTGGGATCTTGCCAGGTTTTGTACAAATCTTGGATCAGCTCCTGACGATGTGCTTGAGCAGATACCAGACCAGCATACTTTGTGACTTCAGGCCAATCTTGAGAGGCAACGACCTGAAACCACAGGACATTTGTTTAAGTTTGACAAAAAAAAAACACAAAAAACAAAAAAGCATTACAGCAAACAACTCCCAGTCCAGATCCTAAGACCAGCATACTTCGTATATCAAATATAAACAGGCAAATGTGCAGATTCATCTTCGAAAAGAATTTCAAAATTGGGTCAAAAATTTTATTCAAAGAAGAAATAAATAAATTAATTAAAAAAATAAAAGCAGAAAAGTTAAATATGGATGGGGCAGTATAAAAGAGCAAACACAAAGATACTTACAGCAGCAATGGATGGACTGGAATCTTCTCCAGGGTGAGGATGGGTAACATCAGCACCAAATATAATTGTTGGTCGGTCGCTGACAAGTGGTATGCGCCTTGATATTGCATCAACAAGGACAGTATTCCTTCCACCAACCTTCACATTAATTTTCAGAGCAACATTTGCCAAATATTGCTTACTCATCTTAAACACATGTTTGGTCAAGCAACATTGTGAAACAATTCCAAGTTCAGTTTCACAGATCCTTTTTAGATCACCTGAAACAAGAAATTTATCAGTTACAAAATCATTAAAAGTAACTATATTGCACTCAATAGTAATAGTTATTACCATAGAGAGAGCCATTGTTATCGGGAAGAATGACTATAAGCAAATCAATCTCCTTTTTCTGCTGCTGCGATTTACTCATAATAGTCATGGCATCATGATATCGAGTTTTTAAAGCCTTTTCAACCTGGTCTGGGCGAGCAGAGATACCTGGAAGTACAGGTTCTGGATTGTAGCTCTGAGAATATACACAAGAAAAAGTTTACAAAAAAAAAAAAGCCGCCATAGAAAAAAATGAAAATAAAAGCAAGGAAAGAGAACATGAATTATAGCATATCATAACATAACAGAAAAATTAAACATTGAGTCCACAAACATCAAAGAATACTGTAGAAGATACTTACCATGCCAGAAATATGACACATTTGCGCAAGCTCAGAGCAAAAACTACGAGCAACACCATCTTGCACATTGCGTGAAAAATTTATGCAGAACCAATTGTTCACTGTTCCCCCGTTAACCATTTTCTGTCGAAAAAAATAAAAGAATAAATACCAATCATGACACAAGGAAGCCTAAATGTATTTTGCTACCTAATTTCAGCATAATCCCTTACCATTATCAACAGGAACAAGCACATTTAATCAAAACAACACGACAGAACATGGAGAGAAATCATTCAGAATGATAAGAATTCCAATTCATTGATGATATAAGAAAACATTTTACAACATTAGCAACGCAAATATGATACATGTTTCAAAAAAGACATGATTCCACACCAATATGATACATACAAGCATCAGCCACAATTAAAGACTTGAGTACATATTTACTCAAATAACCACCAGATATGAATTCTGCATGTTAAAAAAGAAATAGATAGATAAATAAATAAACAAAAATAAGTAACATACATCATACTAGCATAACCTCATGAACAAATATAGCTCGAACCAATTTAAACAGGATCACCTAGAACTGGATAGTGAACAATTGAAAATGCAGAATGAGCCAAAAAATTACTTTGTTCATCATATTCCACTGACCAACTTGGGGTAGACAGTTCTTCTCCCTACCACTATCATGGTATTTGAGCTGCAAAAAAAAAAGAAAAAGAAAGTTACAATCAACAGCATATTTTAGATTAATTTCAGTGAGATGAACCTGCAATGATTTGGAAATTTTGAGCTTTTACCGCCCCCCCCCCCCCAAAAAAAAAAAAAAGGAATAAAAAAAAGCATAATGCAGATATTTGTTTTTAATGGAAAATAACCGTAGTATTTTCTTGATTCCATACAAATTCATAGACGTTTTTAATATACACCCAGGTGCGGTGTACCCACCCAAGATTAGTATTTGCTCTATAATTGATTATTAAATTACCACCTAAATGAGAAAAAATACCACAAGCACAAATTAGTTACGCGTCTCAACATGCAGGTGAAAACAAAATGGTTCTTTCAAATCATTATCCTCTATGGCTTCACAGCAATTTTTTTAAAAATTACTAATCAAATTTGTTCTTCATAATTCATATAGTCCTTTCTATTATATCTAACTCATTTCAATCCTTGCTAGCTCCTACACATAATGATTGATTTAAATGAACAATATAAACACTAGCAGGATAATATCTTGACCAAATACAACAATTTTACATTACATACCCACGGAGCAGGAAGAACACGTGCTTCAACACTAGCAAGCCTCTCATCAATTTTAATCCCAAATTCTTGGGCATAAGGATCAGCATGATATGCATTGTGATGGACAGTCTGAAAAAGAAGCAACAAGGAACAGTGTTAAATTAACATTGAATAGCATCACACTTGTAAGTTAAGTGCTGGCTGTAACCACAAAAGATCACCAAAAAAAAATTTATATCCATTTGAGGAATACCACTTTCAAACAAAACAAGTCCTATTTTCGTTATATATCTTCAAAAGGTATCAACTTAGTAAAGTGCTGACCGCAACCACAAAAGATCACCGAAAAATTTTTAAATACATTTGAGGAAGACCACTTTAACATGTCATATTTTCTTTACATATCTTCCAAAGATGTCGAATTAGTTTAGCCCACCAAGAAAATCCATAAAATGAGATAAATAATAAAAAGGGCAAACCTCAAACATGAATCCCCATACAAAAAGGGGTATACCAACGTGTTGAGAAAAAAGACAGTTACACAGCCAAGCTAGTACAAGCATGACAATGGTACAAGTGAGCAACAAAGATAGTCAGATAAACCAAGCCACATGCCCACTTTTGATAAAATATGAAGTATGATTTAGGAGGGACAAATTTACTTTTACAAATTACTCAAAACAAATTATATATATATATATATATATATATATATATATATATATACACATATATATTAAAAGAAGCAAACAATAAGAAGGATCAAACAAAAGCAGGTACAGGAGCACCCATGAGACAAACCTGAACAATGTCACGCTCCCTCTCTTGAGGACGTTGACAAGTAACCTTCAGCAAAGCTGTAATTTGTCTTTCATTTAATCTTTTAGAATATCGTTGCCCTTCAACAATCTTGCAAACCTACATAATAAGGTACCCATCAGACACTCATAGGAGGATTAAATGTTAACCATACAGACGCAAGAAATGATGACCACACAGCTAACAACCTCCATGGGCAAATAATTTGGCCTCTGTTGGTTTCCAACTTGAAGACATGGCCACTGTGTGTGTTGGATTACAAATCCGTAGGTCTCATAGAAATACTCCACAACTGACTTCATCGTTCCCCTTTCATCAACAGGAAAACTAAACCAAAATAGTAGAAAAAATAGCCATGATCAACATTTGAAAGCATATAAAAAAAACAGAACAGCTAAATCATTTGTTTTTTGAAGCAGGCAAATTGAAAACAATCAGGAAGGCCTTACGTGAGTTCTCTTGTTGCCTGGGAAGTTAGTCCAGAAATTCTGTATTTTCTACGCATATTACCACGGTGTGTAACTTCAACCTTAACCCCTCTTAGAGCCTTCTTAATCTGTTGTCACCAAAAGAAATGAAAAAATAAGAAATAAAATATATTAAGGCAGAGCAGAATAGGGAAAACCATGCGTTAAGTTTTTCCTAGGAAAACATATTATAAGCTAGCCAAAAGGCAATCCGCACATACAAGCATATAATTATAAATGACAACCCCACAGCCTTTTTTCCAAGGAAATTAACACATCAACCACTCATCAGTTTACTCTCACCATTCCATTCCCATCTTTATCTTCCCAATAACAAATGTCAGAAATTTAAATAAAAAAATAATCAAATGTAAAATAAAAAGGAATAATGGTACTTATTGGGTAAGTGTTATATATACATTTGAGAGAGATGCAAAACACAAAGGGAAAAGATAGAACACACTTGCCTTCACTCGATCGGAATCGGACAATGGCCTAGAAGTTACATCCCGGTTCAGCAGTTGGGTCACAAAGTCAATGACAGGCAATGGCTCAATGAAAGCAGTCGAAGACATATCTGCAAACCACATTAAAATATTTAGCATAAAGGAAGAAAACATAGCTGATTGATATAAATTAAAATACAGGCAGTATCATGAAATTAACCTATATTCAAAGATAGACCCATCTGAGTCGGTCGGATACTCTGATAAAATCCACGCCAGCTTTCTAAACCCTCTCCCAGCGGCTGTCTCCGCCCTAGATGGGGAGAGTAAAAAGAGCGACCTACTGGTGAATAACTGCAGATTTGAGATAACCATGTCAGTGCAAAAACATAAAGGTAACCGGATACAACAGTACCAAAAAATGAAGCAAAACGAGAACGCACCGCGTGGTGGGCAATTCACGCAATACTATGTCAAGAACCTGGAGAGCCTCCTGAGGTGCATCAGCCTGCCTTCCTTGCAGAAACATCCCCAAATGGTGCAAGTCTACTCGTGCAGCCAGCTTGATCACAACCTTAAACTCTCTCTCTCTCCTGCTACAAAAAATATCATACCTTAACAAATAACCAACCACATCAAACATTTATATAATGAGAAACCAATGTATAGACCAGACCTTGGTGCCCCAGTTCCATCATCCTCGTCAACAAGTGTAATTCTAAATTCTTTACTGGTAAATGGTAGAGGGCCTGCAGTATATAGACTTTTTCTTCCATCATAAGCCGGAAGTCGCCTTCCAAGATGAGATTCTCTATACAACTTCACCAACTGTGCCATAACAGCACGGTTCACACCCCGTGATGTCACCTCTGGCACGATTGAAACCTGTAACAATTACCAATCATGTAAACAGCACATAGAGATACAAAGGAATGAAAGAGAGACAAATAGATAGAGATAGTTATTACATCATATTGGTGCAAATCCTTATCAGGCAATTCAGCAAAGAAGTGATTCGCTTTCACAATGCACCTGGTGCCAGTGCTACCCTTCCCAGGACGAAGGGGGAACCTCACTGACTTGCTACTAGCAGGCAAAGGCTGAATAGCCTGAGAAGATGGCTCTTCAACAGACAGTTGTTCAAACTGCTGCTGAACCTGGGATGATCCAGCCTCCAAAGGGGACACAGACGAACTGGCCTCACCCTGTTCTGCCGGCATTCCAGGAGTCATCGCTTGAATAGGCTGACCCCCAGGTTGGTAGGAACCCTGGGAAGCTTGGTGCAGCTCGGGAACTGAAGGGCGATAGGACCCACTGATAGGACCACCACCACGGCCACTACCAGCACCGCTACTACCGCGGCGCTGAGGTGGGGCCCCACCTCGTGGATGCTGCTGAGCACCCCTGCCTTGGTACTCTGCAGACCCACCAGACTGTTGCAAGGACATGCCACCACGCTGGCCGCCGCCACGTCCACCACCATATCCTCCACGACCTCCTTGTCCCTGGGGCCCCCAACCTCTTCCTGCACCTGGGTAACCACCAGCAGCTTGTTGAGGTAGCATAGATTGACCACCTCCGCCTCTTCCTCCAGTCCCTCCAGCTTGCTGGGGATGAGAGCTCTCTCCTTCCCCATGTTGTTCAGTTCTCTTCTTCCTCACCATTTTGCCAACCGCTTCAACAAATATGAAAAGCTTCAATAAATCACCGAGACAAAAATTACCTATCACATACAACAGCCACCCAGCATATCGATACACTTAGAACAACAAAAGTTAAAGCAAAACAAAAATTCCTCCCACTATCAAAAAAATACAAACTTGAAAATAAACCAATAATGAACAACAGAAAAAAAGAGCTTCAACAAGTATACAATACATGTTTTACCAAGTCTAGTAAAACGAACAATGATCCAAAGCGATTTCGATTCAATTGACTAATGTACATCATAAAACTTGTCGCAAGGGCATGGAATTAGATTAAAGGTAAAAGAGGAAATTTAAATGAGTGCAAAACACACAATTTCATTCCATATGCTCAACCATCATCAACAACAGCAAAGCAAGCAAACAAAACAAAGTTGGAAAAACGACATAAATAGTAACAAAGCCATCATTCTCAAGCCAAAAAAAGACACTTTATGAATGTGTACACAGAATCAAAATTACACAAACAGCAACAGCATAAACACAACACAAAACAAAAAAAAAAAAAAAAAAAAAAAAAAAAAAAAAAAAAAAAAAAACACACACACACACACAAAAACACAAATTTTTATAACCAGAATTCAAAACATCATCAAATCAAAAGTCACAAATTTCAATATCGCACAATTCAAACCAAACAAGTACACAGCCGATAAAAAAAATAACCAAACCCTAACCCAAAAATTCCCCAAAAGTAACCCTATAATCGCACAAAACCAACAAAATCAAACATCAAAAACATCAACAAAAAACACAAAATTAGATCCAAATTGCGAAGAAAAACACAACGATCTTACAAAACCCAAACAAACCCAGAACAACAACTTAGGGCAAAAAAAAAACCGCCTTTAAAATCGGAATGCAAGCAATTCAACAAAATCACAGAAGAGATAAACTAGATCCATGAAATCAGAGCAAAAATACAGCAAAAATTGAAGAAAAATACCGCTGATTTGACCTAAAAAGACACAATTTTTACACTATCGGAAACAATTTCCTCTCGCCGCCGAGTACCCGACAGAGAGTGGAGAGAGAGCGAAAAGGAGGAGAGAGAAAATAGCTAAAATAAATTAAAAACGGCGTCTTCTAACCAAAAGCCAATAATCTACGAAGAAATGCAGTATATAAAGCCAGCAATGGGGTTGTGAAATGACCATTTTACCCCTTAAAGGGTTTGTTTTTAAGTGTTTGGATGAATGCGTTTGGTGATGATGTGGGAGTGGCAGGATTGGAAGAAGTGACCCCAATGGGATTATGTGTGGGACCTCTTAGTTGGTGATGTGGAATTATGTGAGTACGTGGCATTGCATAAATTCGACAAGTTGGATAGGTCTTTTCTTAGGATTTTTGCTTTCAAAAACTTTACCAGTATATATGATAGAACTCTCAAGGGCAATTTGTGATAGATCTAGGGATTGTTTGGAGACTGATTGTCAATTTTTATTTTTTTTAGTTGGTGATAAATTTAGGGCTTGTTGGGCGATTCATTTTCGGCTGTTATTTTAAGTTATTCTGATCAACTATTTGTATTAGCAATTAGGGGCAATTTGTGATAGATTTAGGGCATGCTTGGTGATTGATTGTCGACAGTTTTATTTGGCAACTACTTGCATTAGCTTTGTAGGTGGAAGTTTGATTGTTGGCTAGTTAAATAAATAAATATAATCACTCCAATATTGTTACAACAAAACTAAATAGTTGTACTAATATCAAGGAAACCCTTTCTATGTAGTATGTTGTTTGGTTTGCAGAGGTAATCAGAATGGAATGAGCAAAGGGAATGAAAGAGAATGAAATGAAACCCTTTTTATGTAGAATGTTGTTTATTTTACAAAACAAAGGGAATCACCACCACCACCACACAACCCCTCTTTCCCACTTTCCCAGCCACTCCACCGCCCAGCCACCACCTCACTTAAACTCGCCGCCCATATTTGCACCACCCCCACCACCTCGCCGCCCCCTGAAAACCGTTGTCTGTCGTAGCTTGTGTTGGAAATCGCGAACTTGCTGCTCCTTGTGGCTTGTATGGGAATCTTGGGCGGCGGAGAAGCTAGATTTGCGTGGGTTGGCTTGTGTTGTGGCTTGGCTTGTGTCGTTGCTTGGGTAGGTGGACGATTTCTAGGGTTTGCGTGGGCATGGGAAGGTTTTTCAAGGATGGGAGGGGGAGGTGCGGCCAATTCCGACGAGGAAAGGAGGAAGTGCGGCGAGTTCCCGCGTGGTGGCTGGGCGGTGGGGGTAACTAGGTAATTGTAGGTGTCGTTTGAAGTGCGCCTACGTTGAAACATTTTGTGAATATGCTTGGCACTCATAGAAAGTGGGAATTGACATATACGATTAGGGACAAGGAAAGTAAGGAACCACCAACAAGTTTTTAAGAAACTTGTAAACCGTTCACGGATCATTTAAGGCAACCACGAATAAAGGGATAACGAAAGGCAACAACGATTGACCAGTGAAGGTTACACCCTATTCATAATCCATGAAATTACTAACTCCATATGGTTCGGAACCACAAAAGGAGGATCGGGGATGATGGTATAAAGTGATTCATGGAGTCACATTCGCCCGTATTGGCCTCTACTCTTATAGTGAAAAGTGATTGCTGCGATTTCAAAGGCATGCAAACAAAATATTCAATTTGCTCCAAACTATAATTATGCTAAATTGGTTGAATATTAATGCAACGTATAATTCTAAAATACTGGTGATCACTTCAATTAATAACAAGATTAAAAAGGAACCTAAACCGGTCGTCCAAATTATCTTATTAGGCGTGATTCTAATTACATATTCCCTTTAAACATGCAATATGGTTGTAGACACCCAAATGTGTCTCCCCAAAAACAAACCCAATGATGAATACCTTTCACGTCATTTGATTATCGAACGAAGTGAAAGTGTGAAAAGTCTAGTGATGGGGATGTTTTTATTAAAATATTTCTCTTTCTATTTTCAAAAATATTTCTTTTCTTACTTTATTTATGAAAATAGTCAGTCCAATTTGGTTTGGTCCACGATAAAGGTCCAATAATAGTGTAGTTGGATTGGGCTCGAAAAGAGCTTTCCAACAATATATTATAAGCCTAATTCCGATGAATAATGAGGAAGTTATGGATTAAATTAAATTTGCCCCAATGACTTTACATGTGGCCCATTGATCTAGAGGAGGGCCTATTAATTATTATTCCTAAAGTGATTATGATTGATTTTAATCTTCTAGGAATATCTAGAAGGTTCTTTTTTATTCTAATAAGATTAGGATTGGTAATTATATTTTTAAAGATGTTTTATTTTGAATAAAATATATTATTTGTCACAAATATGATTTTAAATCTGTTTAGACGAGGAATTACTTGTTTAACCGTTTAAAAAGATGATTCCACGTACAAGCGTGTTGTACTTTTGAATCAGCGCGAGACGACAAAGTTGTCGTCTCGCGCTGCAGCTGTTGCCTGTCGTTGCTCTTGTCGTCTGGAGCTTACTCCTGTCGTCTGGCGCTGACTCCTATCATTGGCGACATGAGGTATTTTATTTCGAATATGACTTTCTTTGATCCCGTGCTATTTTTTCCTATAAATAGAGGTCGTATTTCCCCGTTTTTCATCATTCACAACCATCATCTCTCTATTCTTTTTCTAAACCTTCCCTATTTCAAAATTCCTCACACTCATTAGTTCTAGACACAACTAGCCAAGTTCGAAGTTGCCTTCTCCCTAGACGTGAAAGGTTGATAATTTCTTAGGGTTTGGTCCCAAAACTCTATTTCAATTATTTAAATTAATTGTTTGATTTATTATTTTTCTTAAAGTTACTAACGTGTGTATTTTGTTATTAGAAAAAGGTACGAGGCATCGAATTAAGTAATTTAATTGCTTTATTATTCATTTGATATAGAAATTATGCTTTAATTATTTTAATTCCTAGTATCATGTTAGGATGTCTTTATGATTCCTAGTATCATGTTAAGGGTAATAACTATAATTTCTAATATCATGTATGTTTGTATGATGCTTCCTATTTCTTTCCTAATATCATGTTAGCGTCATGTTAGGGCTAATTGATCTTTAATGTTTAGTGACATGTTAGGGTTTGTTATTAATATTGTTAGTATCATGCCTAGGATCTTGCTAATATTATACTGCTTTATTGAAAATATTATTGTTGTTATGTTGCTTGATATTTTTATTGTTATTGCTTGATTACACCTTTTATGCATGTTTAAATGGAATTTGTACTTGTAATCACGCTTAATAAGATAAATTAATAATATTGTTTAGGATAATATGATTATAATTCAAGTGATCGTCAATAATAGATTTGTTTGTGCATTAATATTCAACCAACATAGACTAAACAGGTTTAGGGTTAACCTATTGATTGTATGTTAGTCAGAAAGCGCACATGAATACGAGAAAAGTAAAGTAGAGGTCTATTTTTAGGGCAGGTTCAATCTCTTTTAGGTTGGATTTGTACCTTCATCCCCGAACTTTCAGTCATGGTTAACGATCTCCTGGATCGTTAAGGGGTGTAACCTTCACCCTGTGAACGGTTTACAAGTTCCTAAAACTTGTTGTCGACTCTTTCACTCTAGCTTCCTTCCCTTTGGACGCCACCATGCTTAAGTGTATGATCACAGTGGGGCTAAAGTGTGGGATGCTTGAAATATTCCCTACAGTTTTTTGGCAACTCCGCTAGGGAGGATTTCTATTTTTATTCCTAAAATTTATTTTGGCAATAATTTAGAATGAGTGGATGAGACTCGAAAAGTTCTAAGTATTTCATGTGCGTAATTTTGATTAACATTATTGGCATAAGCATAAAAAGGTTCGCATTGGAAAGACCATCCGTAATGCGTCAAAAACATAGGAGTTTTACACGTAGGAAATTAGGGAAATATCTTTTAGAACTAAACTCGAAATTACGCTATGAAAAAAACTGGAAAATTCAAGAACAAAAATCTGCCAAGGCATGTAGGTGTAGGTACCTAAAAATGTCTCCCCAAAACCAAACCCCATGATGAACAACCTTTCACCGCCATTATTGGTCGGGTTGAGTATTTAATCTTGGAGTGCTTAAATCCATATTCAAGCCCCAATACATTTCATAAACCAACCCAATTCCTATCCCATTTCCCCAAACCATAACTTATTTTCCTCTTTTCGTGCCTTTAAACACAAAATAATTCATTTTGTGTCCTATAAAATAATTCATTTCGTGTCCTTTTTATTAAAACGATTAGTCCAGTTTATTTTAGTCCATAGTCTGGGTCCAATGATTGAATAGGTTGATGGGGCTTGAAAAGAGCTTTCTAACGATTTATTATAAGCCCAAATCCGAGTTATAACGAATAAGTTATGACCAAAATACTATATTGAGCCATACCGAACCTAAACTCACCTTACGTACGACCCAATGGTCACGTGGAGGGTCCAATCCCATTCCTAAACCAATTAGGATTAATTGGAAGCTTCTATATGTTTCTAAAAGATCTTAATTATCCTTTTTGAAAAGATAAGATTAAAGAGTTTGAAATTGAATAAAACTTTTCTTTTTGAAAATCCTAAATCTATTCGAATTGAAAGACGTTCAAAGATAGTCATATATTATTTTCGTGCCTCATTTTCTTTATCCAAATCTTAAATGGTTGGATAGCCCTTGAAATTATCTTTTAATGATATCTAATATATAATTTAAGAGTTTTTTTTTCAACACTTACCCACATCACTCCAAAACCCCAATTCTACAATTTGGTGCAATTTTTTTTTTATTTTTTTTTATTTTTTTGGAAAAATAACTACCCTATCTATCCTTTTTCTTTTTTCTCTCTCTCTCTCTCTCTTTTTGTTTTTTTGTTTTTTTTTTGTCAATAACTTCCACTTCTATAAATTTTGGATAAAATAAATGTAAATAAATAAATCACTTTCACTTATACAATAATACAATACAATATATGTCTCCATATATAATTGCATTTTTTAAAATTTCAACTACAAGCATATTTATTATGTTTTTTCATCTTATAAAAAAGTTAATATATAAACTACCCACTTTACTTTAAAATTTTTGAGGTAACTATCCCCAACCCTTCAATCATATGCATTTTTTA